AGTGAGAACAGATTGTCTTCCAACCTCCTGTGTTTCCGAAACACATTCTGCAGTTCCCCCAGCACCCCCTCATCCTCTATCCATGCCTGCAGTCTTTCCTTTATAATCTGCATCGCCAGCCTGTAGACCACTGATGTCACTGTTATAGGACGGCAGTTGTTTATGTCAGATTTGTCCCCCTTTCCTTTATAGATCATGCTCATCCTGCTATGTTTCCATCTGTCACGGGTCCCGTTAATTAGGGAGGTGATCGTCGGGCTAATTCCAAGGGCCGAAGTATCGGCCCCCCGAACCGCACCACGAAAGCGTGGACAATTTAGAAGTGGTCCTATTTGGCGCGCCAGCGGACGCCGGCTGTGGCCCAAAGAACAAGTCAGAGCCGAGAGTTGATGAACAAAACAAAATTATATTCTCAATAATGGCAGATCAAAAACAATACACAAGTATGCACACTCCACAATAGTTGAGTACAATATGTCACCAATCAAACAATGTACTACACAGTACAATCAGCCACACTCGAAGCAACGGACACAGACAACAGTACGCAGTACAATGCAGTCGCATGCATTGAACAACCAAGACACTTAAAGACTAAAGAGATAGAAAACCTATTCAGTCGAAAGTTCTTGGAACAAAAGTCTGGGGTATACTCTTCCGAGAATCACTCACTCAAAGTATAGCGTTGTTGTCGTTCCGCTGCCCCCGAAGTTTCTCTTCCAGGAAACCTCTGTCGTTCCGCTGCCCCCGAAGTTTCTCTTCCAGGAAACCTCGCGTCTTCTCTTGGCTGCTCTCCAAACTTCAAACTTCTTCGCCGGAAACACGTCGGCTTCACACTCGCAGCTGTTGCCACGCGTCTTCGCTCGATAGCGGTAGACACACACTCTTGCCTGTAGCTCGAGTCGTCACCCCTCAGGTGGAAATCCTCTTCTTCTCCTGCTTTGTCACTACGGACAAAACCTTCGCCGACTAAACGGCGGAATACCTTACGCGCTCTGGCGCTAACTTCCATCTTCTCCTGCTTTGTCACTAAGGACAAAACCTTCACCGACAGACGCGGCGGGATACCCTACGCACTCTGGCGTTAACTTCCTTCCTCTGCTGATCTCTCATCTCTGCTGCTCGATTAAATACCTTCCACGCGAGATTCCAGAAAGTTCTCACCATTTCGTCGGCGCGATGCGCATCGAAGGCTGGGGGAAAGGGCGAGACGATACGGGGGCTGTCCACGACGGATGACTCAACCCGGCATCACCACGCCCCTTTCCATCGAGAAATTTCGAGGGCTTGCTCGGGCGCCGATGAGAGGAGGTTCGTCGGCGAACCTACGCTTCCGAGGGGAGAGGGATCGTGCCCGGGGAGTCTTTGGATGCTTGTTTTCTTTTTTTTATCGTTGACCTCGCGGCGTCACTCCGGCGTTTCGTCGCGAGAATTTGGCGGCGCGCCCTTTTTTGAGCGCTCGTTTTGTGACACCATCCATCTGGAACTTCACCATCGATTATTACTTTGCTCACTGTCCTCTCTCAAAGCCTGCTTAGACTTCGGACCTAATGTCTTTATCAGCATAGTTGGAATGCCATCTGGGCATGTTGATGTACTACTAGAAACCCTTTTTCTCAGCCCTTTCACACTCTCGTTGTGAAAATGGAGCCATTGCGCCACTTGATTCATCATTGTCTATTGTGGTGCATAAAGCACTTCTTTGTTGAAAATTTCTGTCACCCTTGTTCTTATATATTCAATAGCTTCGTCCCCTTCTAGCCTAGCACCTTGGGCTGTAGTTATAAACCTCTGCTCTTGGCTCGTCTCATTTCTTAGGGAATTTAGATGGTTCCAAAATTTCTCAGCTGCCTTTCTGTCTTTCTTATGTACTTCTGCCAGCCACTGAGCTTCCTTTCTTCTGATCTTTTCATTGATCAGAAGGGATGCATCCCTTCTACAGCTTAGAAAAGTTTCCCAATTTCTTTCAACATTCTGTCGGTTCACCCCGCTGCTCAGCATGTCTGTGTTCCCTAGAGGCTTCATGACGTTTTGCTATGGCTCTCTTAACTTCCTCATCCCACCAGCTTTTGGGTTTGTGTCTTCTTTCCGGGGTGACTTGTCACGCGTCTTAGCAAGCTCTAGCTCAAACAGTCTAATTAGATTCGTGTATGTCCACACTGTTTTATTATCCTCCATGATTACTTTCTCAATTTGTTTAGTGGCTATTTCAGTTTGCCTTTCTGGATAAAAATTTTCCTCTAGTTGCTTATCTTGTCTCCTTGCCACTTTCACTGCTCTTCCGAAACTTAGCTTGATACGTTTGTGATCATTACGCAGACTTCTGGAGCCACCTTCATCTATGTACATTCCCCTGAGCTTATCATACATCCTATGTGACATCAGTGCGTAATCTACCATCAACTGCAGCCTTCCTACCTCCCATGTTATTTGCCCTTCACACTTCTCGGTACTGTTGCAAATGATCAAATCAAGCCTTTCACACATATCCATCATCATTTTGCCTTTCGGGTCGGTATACCCATCTATATCTTCCACGTGCGCATTCATATCTCCTAGTATAATTATCTCGCAGTCTCTTCCTAACTCCTGAATGTTCTTTGATATACACTCTACCATTGCCTGGTTTTCTTCTCTGGCCTTTGTTCCCGTCCACAAGTACACGGAACAGAGGAATGTCATTCGACCTGCCACTTTCCCTTTCAGCCATAAATGTTCCTTGCACTCCTGCTTGACCCTTTGCCAGTCTGTACTTTTATGAATGAATGCCCCAATACTACCCCTCTTTCTGCTGCCTTCTGTTCTATTACAATATTCCCACGCGTAGTCCGGATTGTTCGGAGGTTGTTTCATGTCCCTGAGATGTGTTTCTACAAAACCGTATACCATCGGCCTCTCTTTCCCTTAGCTGTTCTTCTATCTCTTCCCACTTGAGCCTGCTCCTACCACCCTGCATGTTAATATACACTATGTCTGAATTGGCTCGGCGCTCGTGGCTACGTCTAATTCTTACCCGGACTCTACCTATCTTAGATACTGGTGCTACTTTCGAATCGTATCTGTCCATGCCACCTGTCAAAGAGTCTCCCTGGTTGTTTTCCTCGTTACTAGCTATTCCTGCACCCCGAAGGGCCCGCTTGCCGCCCAAAAAAGCTACTGTGCGTCCTGCAAGTCGCCAACCCACCTGATGACCTAGCCGCCCATCGAAGTGAATTCTGTCTCGTTGAAAACTACCCCACCTATGCACCTCTCTTTTTATTTCCACCACCTCAAAGCCTTTCTCTCGACTCATCCGCCATATCTGTTGGTTTGCGTTGATAACCGCTCTTTGCAGGTTGCTATGACGCACCGGTACCTCCGGTATTGTTCATATCACTACCTGTACTTAAGGAGAAGTGGCGCACATGTCATCGACGCCTTTAGCCAGTGTGGTTGTCAGTCCTGCTGTCCCCAGCGATTATCACATGCTGTGACTTTTCAGCTGGAGCGTCCTGCACCTGGGGGCTACTTGCACCTGTGACGCCAGCTGCTTCGTCCACTCCCTGCCCCACCACTACCTCGCTGAAGCTGGGCCTTGCGACAGTTGAACCGGCTGAACCTGTTTTTTCCAAACTTGCTTGCTTTTCCTTCTCCACCGTTCTGGTTGCCGGTTCCCTACTGTTCTCTCCGTAGGTCGCTCTCTTGTTCACCGTGGCTAGTGCTTCCTCGGCGGACTTCAGCCTTTCTCCCATTGTCCTCGTTTTCTCTTGCTCTGTCGCCAACGCAGTCTCGAGCTCGGCGATTGTCATCAGCAGTTCACTCTGGGCAACCATTTTTTTCTTCATTTTTTCCTCGACCTCACATTGCCTACACTTCGCGTCAGCCTCTTCTCCATCCGCTTCTACTCTTGGGTCACTTTCAAACCCACTCCACATCCTGAACACTTCACAGTCTTTTTAACCATGTCTTTCTGACACCAATTGTCCCTATACTCGATAATTACTAAACTCGAGCCCTGCCCTACGAAAAAAAAAAGAAAGTCTAAGCTCTACTACAAAAATTTGCGTGTTCAATGTACACGCACCTCCGCCATGGTGTGGCAAAAGAAAAAAAAACAACAAAAAATTCAAACACACACACGCGCACTAACTAATAAATACCTGGTGACTGGCCCCCGAAAAAGCCGTACCATAAAATAAGTGCTACGAAGATTTCAACTGCTGTCTTATAATTATAAAGACAAGGTCAAAACATGCAAAAAAACTTATCTGAGCAGTCGATCGGGAGCGCTCAAAAACACGTCCATCCACCGTGACAGTCCGAACCGAACCGAGTCAAATTTACACCAAAGGGGTTACATTACTTGCATGAAAAGTCAATGAAGTTCAGACATGAGTTTTATGACCTTCAAGTTAATTATACCTGGGTACATACTGCAATTGATGAACTGTATTTAGGCACCAAGTTTGCTGGAGTTAAATCGAGTGGTAGCGAGAATTTAATATTTATCCCATCCAATGTTTGAGGCAGAATTGGATCATTGCTTCAATCACTTTTTTTTATAAGAATCCACTGATGTATCGAATAACAAATGCGTAGTTGAGCGCGTGCGCCCACACACCGGGTCCCCTAGGTATGTGCCAAATGATTAAAATATACAATATTAGATTTAGCCAAGAGACATCGGTTGCACGTTGCTCACAGCCACCTTGTGCACTACAGACAACTTTTGTTTTGTTTTAATTGTTCAGTTAAAACTAATACATTTAACTAAAATGATAAATACTCTAGGTAAGATGCTTGACTTGCACAGTTGGAAACCGTCTTCAGAAACCCTCAATACATAGATTAGATAAAGAAAGTCTCATGCATACAATTTTTTTCCAAGCGGCATAAAAAGGCCGCGAGATAAAAAAAAAGAACACGTGGCTAGCGCATTCGCGCACCGCAAAGGTGCCACTCTCAGGCGAGGTTTCATTCATACATCAAGAGCAACGAAGCTGGGTAAGCTACGTAAAAAGTTTGGTAGTAATAAACAGCTTTATTAAGACAGCTGACGGTTTCCTAAGTAGCGAGGGCTGTCAGGCCATGCCTGGTCGCCACCTCGTCAGCGCGTTTGATGGCCCGGAGCTGGGTGTCCAGGCTTGTGACCATGAGGATTCTCTCGCAGGCCTCACTTGAAGGTGACTCCTAGGAGGTTTGGTGGGGGAGGGTCCTTGCTGCATCCCCAGATGATGTGGTCCAAGGTTGCGGTCTGTGTCTTGCAAAAGGTGCGCGGAATTGTGAATAAAGCTGCGTATATGTGTCGCCAATACGCGGGCCTCGCGCTTGGCTTTCATCGTTGTTAACACTCGTGCGAGATGAACATGAAAGCACGCGCACAGCGTCGTGAAAGGCTAGCTAGGCCATCTAACACGGATTCATCCACAGTTGCTTTCTGACGAAATAAAGTTTTACCATCCATCCATAGCTAGGTATAAAATATCAAGAAATGAGAACTAGTAGACGCTATAAGTATCCAGAGCAACTGCCGCATAACTTTATCTCCTACGCACAAAGCATCTTCATGTATTACTGGAAGTCCAAAGATATAAGGAAGTCATATATGAGACGGAAAAGTAGTAGTAAACAACTTTATTAAGACAGCTGACGGTTTCCTAAGTGCGAGGGATGTCAGGCCATGCCTAGTCGCCTGAGATGGAAAAGTCATTGTACTATTTGTTAGGGCGAACCGCATTCATTTCAAGCAGGCAGTCTTGGAGTCTATCCCAGAAGTATTTTCCAGAAGAAGCGATCTCTGCAACAACGTTTATCATGCAGAATACAAGGGAAACGTCCTGTTGCTCACCCGAAAGAAACGTATACGCTCTCTTCGGATGCTGTACCTAACAATTTACCGGGCTGCCCAAAATACCTCACCGTCCAGCAAAAAATTAAACCATCTCCCACTAAAGGGAACCATGTGGGGATGCGAAGCAGCGCGGGTGTTCACTTGTGTTTTAATTTGTATGTTTCATTTACTTATATGTTGTGTACCGCTTATGCTGCACCCCCTCCCATTTGTGTTTATTACCGTGTGTAGGCCGCTGAGTGAACAACACGTCCAGTGCTGCCAGGAGAGTGCAATGGAGCGAGCGAGCGCTGCATGAGCGCACAGCTGTGGTGGAGAGATAAACGAATAAGGGGAAACGAAGTGGCTAAGGAAACGCGAGGAGGAGGGGAGAGTTGGCGCATGCGCAGTGGGGGAGCAAATAGTTGCCCGAGAGACAAACACAACCCCGAGCTAGAGTATAAGCTGCTTCTAATCTGAGAAGCAAACGGCATGCTCTACTAGGCTAGCCACCCTAGCTCTACTGCCGACATCTCGGCCGTGACGGGAACCACGTGGTTCAACTGCATCTGCAGTGCCTAATCCGACCGCTGACAGCACGCCAATTTTATTGCGTGAGTGCAGATCGTGAGTTCAGATCGTGGCGATGCTGAATCAACTGGCATGTAGGCCGCGCTTCAACTTCAACAGCATCGGGCCGCCTCCGCGTAACGATGAGAATGCTTCTCAACCATGTTCTCAACACAACACTGATCGTGCAAGTCTATGCACTACCGACTCATTTCGTCATCAAGCCGAAAAGGTAATTTCTTGTGTTAAATTCAGATGCCACTTTTTGAGCTAGGAAGCAAGCACGCTAATACACACACATGGACGTACAGTACGCTATCGCGTTTCTTACCGCTAGCGTACGTTTGCCTTCGGGCTGTTATCCATATTGCAAATACCGCGAATTTTCAATTACAACCAACGCTGCTTTTTTTGTTTTGTTTTGAATTTGAGCCAAAGACGCCGACACCAGAGTTTCAGCGAAACGAGCTTGTAAAAGCTGCGCGTACCTAGTCCACAGCTCGCCACCGTCCTCAATGGTCAACTGGCATAGAAGCTGCAGAGCTGCTTTCGAGCCCCGATGCGTTGTGCTCGAAGGCAGGTTTGCAGCTGCCGTGCCGCTACAAGAGACCCAGTATGTTGACGGCGCGGACGTGTTCGCGGACGATTCAGTCTAGTGGCATGCGACGCGATTGGGATCCCTCTGCAACACCTACCGTTCTCACGACCACGGCCTTCTCAACGAGCGAGGATTTCTGCATTGTTCTCAGAGGATCCCAACCGATTTTGGTGTCCGTCGTTTCACCACAGAACACCTGTTTCACTAATTGCTCCACGCATGCTCTGCGCGGACTGAAGCGGGATCGGCTGACGTATGTTGACGTACTGACGTAGTACGCAATCCGCCGGCTCGATTCGCGGTTTCGTCCGTCGTGTGAGTTCAGACAGTTCAGGTTAACAAACATAGAATAACCATGTTAGAATGAAAAGTAAAGTAATCCGCACCGGTTTCTTCGTGAAAAAAGCACTCTGCAAGCGCGCATTGATGACGAGAACAGAGTTGCTGCTTGTTGGCACAAACTGTGCATGCGAAAAACCTCTATTCAAGCGTGGTGGGTTCAAAGTGTTACACTCGATCCAGAAATAGAAATAGAAATATTTTTCAGGGCGGAATGAGGGTTCACATCAAGGTAGAGCGGAGAAGCCCTCCAACTATGCCACCTCCGGTAAGTGAGGTGAATTTTTGCAATTTGGTACTTGCACCTCTTAGCTAACCCCCAGTTTTGCGTTACAAGTGTTCAATTCGTGATGAATCAGTCTAATTTGAGTAAACTTGACAAATATGATAAGAACGTGCATCTCATCCCACGTGCTTCCTTTTGTTGTCATTATACCTACACATTTATTACGTGCAGTACAATCTTGTAGAGTACAAGGTATATAACAGCACAGAGCATGATTGGAAATTCTATCAGAATGGATTCTTGATCCTAGGACGATTGCTGATCTAGGAATGATTCTTGATTTACATTACTTATTTGCATTCTTATGTGTAAATGTATGTGCCTGTGTGTGGTGGACTTCGAATAAAGCAAACTTGTTTCAATTTTAAATACCTGTTAAAGAAAGCAGTTGTAAAAATTTTGATTCATCCCAGGTTGGTGCTGCGTTAAAGAGTCATTAAATTAAAGTTGCCTGCGCTAACACAGAGCAAGCCCCACAAAGAAAAAATTCAAACACTTCTTTGTGGGGTGTGTTCCATGTTTGTGCAGGTAATTTTAATTCAGAGGTATGTAGAGTTGAGCCCAAATGAAGTTTTATTACCCAGCTGCAATGGCTGCATTTCCGATGGAGGCGGAAATGTTGTAGGCCCGTGTGCTCAGATTTGGGTGCACGTTAAAGAACACCAGGTGGTCGAAATTTTCGGAGCCCTCTACTACGGCACCTCTCATAATTATATGGTGATTTTGGGACGTTAAACCCGACATATCAATCAATTAATGTTGATTGCATATATAACGAGACACGTCAAACAAATGTGAAAGCTATTGACAATTGGAATACTCTATAATGTGAGGGCAGCTGCATGTGTGCTTTCATATTGTGGTACGCAAATTAAGGCAAATAGTGCATGTGTATACACTTACAGACTATTCCTTAATTGCTTGCTGCAGAGTGCACTTGGGGTATTATCAAGGACTTTGCCTCCCGGTTGCTTCAGCAGCACGCACGTCAGTACTTAGAGCTGTTTCTCTGCTCCAATTCAGCCTCAGCTCAGGCAAATCATTCAGCAGCTGCAGCAAACAAAGCGCCTTTGTTGGTTGTGTCACTCGTGGTTGAGAGAAAAAAAAAAAAAAACTAGTGAAAACATCTTGGCTCATGTCAGCAACAGCAGTGAGCTTCTGTTTTGGCAGCACAAACTTTAGAGCGCTACTGACTCGCTGAAGGTTGATGAATATTTCAGCTGGCCTCTGCCAGTTGTAACGTTCAGAAATAGCGAATGAGCTCCTGTTTTGGCGACGTCAACCTGTGCGTTTGCATGACTCGTTGAAGGTTAATTCCAAGAGAACTCGCTCACACATATCCAGTAATGTTGATGTTATCTTCTATGAAAACTGCCTCATGATGAAAAGGGAGCTCAGATTGGTGGGTACAGAGAGGCCAACAAGGGATAATGCTCAATAGAAGAGGTGTACTCTGATAGGTGATTCTGTTTATACAAATGAAAGCTTGAGTCATAAGGCAGCCACAGGAACGTTAAACTGAGTGAAAGATGTTGAATTCGCAGCTGCCCTATGTTTGATAAAGCAGAGGTATGGTGTGTGCTTCGTAGGAATATTGACATGAATATATAGTGCTTCACATTTTTTGCTTTGTAAAGTAGTTTCAGTTTACTCCACAATTATGTTATTTAGCTTAATTCCTTTTTGGTAATGCCACATGTGTGTTGTATTTAATGTGACATGCTCGAAATACATGTACAGTGCAGCTAAGCTTTATATATATAATGCAGAATACCTATGAAAGTCGCTGAAATAGTCGAGGCTGGTCACTATATTAAGAGTTTCGTTACTGTGGGAAAATGGCTATTTTACACTTGGATGGATAGATGAACTTTATTAGGGTCCAACAGGTCCTGCTAGTGTTCTAGACCGAAGCGGGCCGCTCCCACGTTGGGGCCGGAAGACCTAGCCTTTCAGCCGCTTTATTATTTATTTATTTATTTATTTTTATTCACAGATACTGCTGTCTCATGTTTGAGAAATTGCAGGAGTGGTTACAATAAACAAACAAAAACAGCAGAAATAAAATACATAAAATTACGTAAGTAGACACCTATTCAACAAACAATAAATGATCAAACAAAAGGAACAACAGCAAAACTAAAAACATCGAATTACATAATTAGACACTTGTTTAACAAACAGCGCATGCGTTATTCGTTTCAAAATAGTGTCCAGATTATTCCAAGTGTCAACTGTGCCATGGAAAAAAAAGGGTATTTATAACAATCAATAAAACATCTGAATGGCACAATGTTCAAAGAATTGAATCGGCGAGTCACATGGGTAGGATGATTAGTGAACGAAATTGGTGTGGCTATGCGGACGGAACCGTGCACGATGTTATGTAGCATGGTAAGCCGATCACACATACGTCTGTGTTCTGAACGGTTCAGCAATAAAGCATGGTAGTGCTCTGAAGGGGAGAAATCACGGTCATAACGGTTAAAAATGAATCTAATCTCTTTTTGCTGGATGGCCTCAAGTTTATTTATGTAAATTGAAAGATGTGATGACCACACAACAGACGCATATTCAAGAAGAGGCCTGACCAGTGATTTGAAGGCTACAAGCTTGCATTCTTTTGTGGTGCCCTTTAGCGTTCTTCTTAAGTAACCAAACTTTTTAAGCGATTTTACAGAAATAAGATCGATGTGTTTGTGCCACTTCAAGTTTGGAGAGAATACAACACCAAGATACTTAAATTCCTCAACTTTTTCTAGTGTATGATTGGAGTCGCCATATCTAAATTACAATGGCTCCTTTTTAATTGTAAAAGTTATTGTCACGGTTTTCTGAAAATCAAGCTCCATTTGCCAAGTTCTGCTTCATTCGCAAAGGAAGAAAACACATCATTCAACAAAATTTGGTCAGTGACGCTACGTACATTGGAATACAATACACAGCCATCGACGTATAGGCGGAGCTTAACTGGAGTGTTAATGACAACCTGAGTGACATCGTTAATGTAAATTATGAATAAAAGGGGTCCCAAGACACAGCCTTGTGGAACACCTGAGGAAATATGAGCTTGTGACGACTGTTCGTGGTTGTAGCGAACAAACTGACTCTTCAGATGCAAATAATCCGTAAATCTAACAAGTAATTTGTCAGCATATGGGCCTGTCAGAAGGTTACGAAGTTTGAGCAGAAGTTTTTTGTGACATACCTTGTCAAAAGCTTTGCAGTAATTAATAAAAATGGCATCGACTTGTTGGTGGTTATTAAGTGATGAGGCGATGTCATGTGTAAATTCGATCAATTGTGAGACAGTGGAAAAACCGCTGCGGAAACTGTGCTGATTCCGTGAAAGGATATTGTTGTCAGTTAGGTATGGAATATTGTGCTCGCGAATGATGTGCTCGAGTAGCTTGCAGCACGTCGATAATAATGAAATTGGTCTGTAGTTAGAAATGATTTCCTTCTTACCTGATTTGAATATAGGAACAACATTAGCGATCTTCCAAATTCGCGGGACCCGTCCGGAGTCGAGTGATTTCTGGAATATAATTATGAGGTATCGTGGACACCATTGAGAATACCTTTTCAAAAAAGCGTTAGGGATACCGTCCGGACCGGCACTTTTAGTTATATCTATGTTGAGTAAGAGATTACGAACTCCAGAGCAACTTGACTCAATATCCGAAATAGCTACCGATACAGAGGGTGTGACAAAACAAGAAACATTGCCGTTATCAGCGGTAAAAACAGACTTAAAATAACTATTGAAGGCCTCCGAGATCGCCTGAACATCTGAACAAACCGTAGTTTGTTTTCAATAATGAATGAGCAAGTTCTCCTGAAGGGTGGATTAATTGTCTTCCAAGGTCGAATTTTCCTAATGAACATTGACAGCGTGTTATTGTAATAGAAATCTCTAGCTTCATGCATTTTATTTTTGAGTGTTGCCTTTAACGTACACAAAGTGAATTGCTGGTTTGGATTGGAGCAGCATCGGCGACGTAGTCGCTTTATGCGGCAAATAAACTGTATTATTTCTCGGTTATACCATGGGTGTTTAGGATTGCACTTCACGCATTTGTTTGGCACGAATTTAGATATGCAGTTGGACACAATCGTGCCAAAGTGTTCCACCAACGCATTTACACCACAACTGTTGCTGGAAAGGAGAAAATTTACATAAGAATCTGCTAGCAGGAAAAGTGGGCCTTCATCGGTAACACGTGAGAAATCAGTAACAACTTTGTATTCTGGTTTCTCAAGTTTGTAGTGAATGGAAAATTGAACAAAGACTGCATTGGGATCCGAGATACCTTCTACAACCTCGCACTATGAGTCATCAATCAATAAGTCAGCTGTAACGAAATCAAGGTCCAGGATTGAATCACCTCTGGTGGGACTTTGAACAACTTGAGTAAAACCATGGGATACAGCGAAGTCAATCAATGAATTACAGAGAACCTTGTCACGGCTGGTCGTGGTGAAGGACTCCCAGTTAATGAGGGGTGCATTGAAGTCCCCGCATATGATCAGTTTGCCGTCAAGAGTCTCTGCTTAATGATATAGTCCGTGATTGCCAATATGCAATGGTCATCTTCATTTGGTGGCCGGTAAACAGCTCCAATTACTACAAACACACTGCATACCTTGATCTTACACCAGAGAGACTCTGTTTCGAGGAGATCAGGCTGTGTTGTATAGTCAGTGTCGTTTTTGACAAAGAGCGCCACGCCACCACCTCGACCACTCGACCTGTCGTTTCGAATAACCAAGTAACCAGAGGGCAGAAATTCGTTTTCAGAGATGGATTCATTAAGCCAGGTTTCAGTGATGCATATAATTGACAGATTATGACACAGTACTAGGCAACTGAAGTCAATCAACTTATTTACAAGGCTGCGGGCGTTAAAACACAGAAGCGTTAGGTTTTTTGATTCATTGTGTCTGGTGTCAGTTCATTGCTTTCTTTGCCTTTTTTTGTC